AAATTGTTTGGGACCTGAAAAAGAAAACTTGTTTCTCTTTTCCAGATTATGAACAAAGAGGAAAATGAAAGTGAAGACGATGACGGCGTTAGCTGCAGAAGCCAATATTTTAAGTTTCTCATGTTGACCTGGCTGACATAGCCGATTTTTTTTTTTTAATATTTAACTATTTTAGTTAAAAACAACTTTAACAAAAACAAACCTGATTTCAAAAATTCATATACTTCTTTTGTTAAAACGTTATATGTTTGCTGTTGAAGGAAAAAAATCCAAAATACATAACATTGTTGTTTTAGTTAAATAAAACAATTTAAATGTTTGTCTGGTGATGTTCTCCTCCTAATTCAGAAAGGCAAGAAAATCCTCAATATATTAATGATTAACCTGTTGAATTGGAGATAGTTCACCTCCCAATGACTTCATAAATATCTGCTTCAATTACCTTTGGTAAATGAAATAATCGAACAATCATTAATTTTCTCATATAGCTGTAAAACTAATCTGACAAGTTTTCCAAAAAAAAATCACTGTTTAAAAATATATAGTGTTTACCTTCTAAAAATGAAACCTACATCCATCTGTGAGTTGTGAAGAATATGTATTAAGGTTATAACAACCAACAAAAATGCACTTTTATGGTAGAAATCCATGATTAAATCGAGTCTTCCTGACTAGTGATTTAAATCAATTTGATTTAAATCAAATCCACCCTGGTGGAAGCCAAGCTGAAAAACCTGGGGCACAGCTGGGGAACCATTGAAAGATTTGCCAGAAACAGACAGGAAAGGAGGAGCTTTGTCACTGCCCTAAACGCCAGAGGCGTAATAGGAACATAACGATGATGATGGGAAATGTAGAAGCATAAGATACAAAAATACACAAATGCACTAACTACTAGATTGGGGGCAGAGAGAGAAGGAGCAAAATTAAACTAATGATCGAATTCAACGTTAAATGTTTTTCAAAGCAAAACTAAAGCACTTACCAATATGCAAGAGATATGAATAATCCCTCAGAATGCTGTCTACTCTCAGTCTACCATCTTGATAGTCAACTATCACCATTTCTGAATTCATGCCCTTATATAGAAAAGGAAATTATTTCAAATACTTTTTGAACATAAGAACAATTCTGAAGAACTCATAGAACATATCTGGCGACATTCACAGTAAGATTTCATGATTTCTTTTCTTTTGATAAAATGCATTTACCTTTTGTTTAGTATATATGACAACAGTGACCAAATAATCTGTTTGGAACCAATCATAGCTGTAAAATATTAAGAAAAAAAGGAATTATTCTTGTGAGCAAACAAAAAATATTTAAATGGCAAGAATTTCCAAGCTGACCTTTCTATGAAATAATATACCAAATATATATTTTTATATCCTGACGAGAAGTCAAACTGATTATTTTAAGAAAGGTTATTCAACATTAAAAAACAGGAACTCTAGTTATCCATCACTAGTTAGCATACAATAGTTAATCATATTATTAGAAAGTACGATTAGGCAAGAATGCGCATAAACTTTGTACTAACTGTATGAATGTGTATACAATTGCACATGACTGGTTTAAAGAAACTGGTTACTGATTACAGACATTTGAGTAAAGTGAGCAGTTCATTCTTTGGATGAATAGAAATCATTTAAGAGGACTCTTTTGGCCATGTGGAATAAATATTACTACTCTCACCCCTATTTTCATTTCCATGGATCCTGTTTCCTTTCTAAGATGGATGTCTCAGTATTAGATATACAATATGTCTAACTATTAGATATACAGTATTTAAGTTCCGACAAGAATTTGAGTTTAAATCTTACATTATCATACTCATCTTTTACACTAACGGACAAGAAAGCAAAACCCTGAAACTTACTGCAAATGAGAATGTTTGCAAGTAGATTAGTTCTTTTTGTAGTCTGTCTGAATTGTCCTCTCTTCCCTATTTACCTCAGTCCCCATACCAAACGATAGGATTCACAACTTATTGCACAAATCCTGAGGTAGATTAGGAAAAGGGGAAAAATGAAGTGGTTGTGGGAATGGAATCAACCCCGACTGGCAGACAGTGCACAGGACATGCAAACAGCCCCCTGCAGTCACTGTTCCTTGGGCTTTTAGCAATTAGATCAATGTAATCAGAGTCCCATTGGCCACTTCATGTATATTCCATTGTATTCTGTTCCCATTCTACACTAGTCTATATGGAGCCAATCGTCCCTTGTGCCACAGAACTGCATCAGTACTGCTACACTGGGAACCTCCAAAGCATCATACACTGGTGGGTATAGTTCAAAGTGTATATTACACTTACCCATTGTCCTTTAAAAAAAATGTAATATCAGAAAATTCCATACAAAATAAATACTGGATACTGTTGAATTTTCTACATTTGAAGTAAGTAATATTTATTGCACTATAGAAAAACACTATTAGGGAGGAATCCTGAATCAAGAACTAACTTTATATTTATGTAGGAGGCAGCATAGGGCAGCAGCCAGTGCAAAGTCACTAAATATACATTTTATTCTCCCTCATTTCTACAGACTCATTGTGGGACCTCGAGCAAAATATTTTAGTTAACTGAGCATGAGTTTCCCTATCTGTAAGATGTGATAATGACACACACACACCTACATAAAGCACTTTGAGCTTTATGGATTAGCATACATTCTGTATTTGCTAACAGTATACACTATTTAACAAAATGTGTATAAAAAGTGTACTATAAAAATATAGATCAATACCTTGGAGTTAAATCTTTGGAAGACGTATCCAATACTTTATTTTTAGGAAGTATGCCTAACAAAAAAAAAAAAAAAAACAACAGAATTTATTAACACATTTGCATTGATTGTCACCCATCCAAGAGTGTTAACATCTATTCCTAGGAGGAATGAAATCCAGAAAGTTTTAAAATTAAATGCATGCAATAGCTATATCTCCTTGATACCTGGTGTTTGCATTTCCATTAGTAATCAGGAAGTCACAAGCTTTTTAGCCATTGCCCCCTGAGAAATGAGTCCCAAGCCCCCCCAAAACTAACTTCCACTTCACATCCGAGTTCAATGCAACAAGTACACCACAAAAAACTTTGGTGTATGAGCTTCCCAAGTTACACTGGAATTGGCATGTGCTCTGTGAAACCAGTGGAATGTAATTGTAGCTATATGTATAAGCCTGTTCTTAACTATCTCTTATATTTTACTTTATTTAATTTTCAAAGCATTAGAATGCTAGCCCCAGATAACTTACCCAAACAAGACTTAGACATGTTTGTTTACAGAGTTCCAAAAATAAAATAAAATAAAATAAAATAAAAGAAGAGTGACTTTCAGGTATGTAACTTAATGTCATACACTAATTCAGCTTTAACATCAGGAAGCCAAGCAGAGACTTCCAGGCATTTTAAACCTTGCTTTACACTAAGCATCTTGCTAGAGATCTTTGTAGTATTCAGCTAGCTGCTTTTATAACCAGCTTTCATTGTAGTGTTTTTTTACTTTTTAATCACAGTGACCTTGACCAAAGTCTGAGAAACTAATAGTGAGAACAATCACTATTCCGTTTTCTTGGAGAGCAACAATACTGATCTCTGACAGAGAGAATAATATTCAGGCAACAATCTGAAATGAGAACATCGGTTAAAGTGATTTCAATTCTCCTTCCTAAACACTGATGCTAAAAAGAAGCTGAACTGCGTCATTGTGGGCACGGCGAAAAATGAACAGCCTGAAATGTTATGTGGTCCATGACACCAAGTGGAGGGCAGGATTTCTAGTGGAACAGACTAGGCAGAAGGGTAACAATAGAGTTGGGAAGGAATGGTTATTGCTGTGGATGGCTGGTTATTATCAAAACAAGAGCAAGGATTTTATGCCAGCCAAGGCCACTCCCCTGAGCAACCAACGTGATGTTTTCCTAAAATTAGCTTGATGTATAGCCAGTACTTTCTTACACACTTTCATGATAAGAACAAAGATTACCTTGAACAGAACATGCTCTGATCTATCATGCTTCCTTTCCAGATAGAACTGCCCATTTTTAAATTTCAAAATCAGTTTCAGATGCATTAAACAACAAACCATGTGAACCAGAGATGGTTATGCATACCAGACAGGGATAAGTAACTAGGGAATGTATTCATTTTCCCATTTAAACCAAATATCATCTAACAAGTTCTCTAGTTCAACCAGATATTTTGGGCTTGATGCAGAAGTTGCTGGGTGAAATTAAGTTGTGTATGTCATGCAGGAGATCAAACTACTAGATCATAACAGTCTCTTCTGGCCTTACAAACCTATGACTAACTGAGGAGGGAACACCATGTGCGAAATAAATGCAAACCATTATGCATTTGCTCCTGAACAGTGTATATATCACAGGTGATACAGCAGCTGCCACAGAAGACTGGGGCTAAAAAATAATATTCCTCCAAAAGAAGAACCACCACCCACTAAATCTGAGACTTGCTCCCCAACTGAAGCCCTCATGGAAACACTGATACCATATTATTAAAAACTCTGTATCTAACAACCTATAAATTGGAGATGGAAGGGAAATCAGACTCTAGTTATTAAAGTTAGAAGCATTTCCTATTTAGTTTAGAAATTATAGCATTGTGAGGATTATATATACTCCAGCAAACAAGATAACAATTCTGGTATGATATTTGTGGGTTCTGTAACTCCATGCATATAACACAAAAATGAATTTGTCTGGATTACAAATGAAGCTACAGCAAGAACAGAACTTTGAAGATGATCTAAACAAACAAAAAAATCATTACCATGTTAATCTTGACCTTTCTAATTATGTTTATGGAACACAGTTTTTATCCGAAAAGAGTTAAATATCTTACAGTTGAGACTTATTTGTAAAAATGGAATTTTCCTTGACAACTCTGCACTTCATATGCTCTAAATTATCCATTCACTTCTATCAAACCCCACTGCACCACATTTGCTAATACTGACTAGTACTTTACTCCACAAGTATTGTAATGTAATATAATTGTCTTCAATGGGCCCATTCATGGTGTAAGCTACTTTTCCACATGTATCAGGGTACTGCAATATATGTAGTGTATTAGTGAAGTTGAACCCCTTAATGAAGTCATTTGAGATGTCTGGTATGATTTTAACAAGCAACAATTCACAGTTGGCAGAAGAGAATTTGGATCACTATAGCTGTACCCAAACCTGACACTCCAATGAACAAAATGGGACAGGAAGGCTGATGAACTATTAAGCGGGATATTTTTCACATGATATCTAAAACTGGGGTTACTCCCTTTTTTCCACTTCCAACTTAAAAGTCCCACAGCACTTTCTAACAAGAGTTGTTGATAAACCTTATGTTCCAGCCAACATTGTGTCTCAATAAAACAGGTTCCAAAGGCTGTGAATAAACTAATTACTGCAGAATGCATACTGACTGTTCCATTTGCCTACAGAGTCATTGCCCTACCAAACTCATCACTCTGAACTATTTTGGAATATTGTAAGGCACTTTATAAGACAAATGGAAACAAGAGGACAGAGCATCATTAAAGCAGCAAAGCAGGCAAGAGCAGATGAACTCATCTTTGATATCATCTCAATTTAAGACTGTATTTTATAGCTGTACTCAGAATTTTAGAACCCAAAAGCAAACTTCTCTAGGGTGAAACATCTTTCAGTGCTAAATCCACAAATCCTACCTAAGATTTTGTGAACTATAATTCTCAGAGTTGTCCAACAGTCTCTACTGCAGCAACACCATAGATTGAAATGTATAATGCAGAGTTCACCAGCTAGCTGTGGTTTTCAAACTTTCTGCATTGGTGATCCCTTTCACACCGCAAGCCTCTGAGTGTGACCCCCCTTATAAATTAAAAATGGGGATGTTAATTTAATGGGGGTTAGGAGTTGTCAGCCCCACGGAGCTGACAGCTCACGATTCCCATGTAACCATCTTGTGACCCCCTGAAGGGTCACGACCGCCAATTTGAGAACCCCTGACCTAGATGTTTGCTTCTCCTATTAACTTCTTTGGATATTCCTTAGTTTAAGTTTCAAATTCTTACCATCTGAAAACTTACCATTTAAGAGTTTCTTCTCTTCAGGTAGAGCGCAGCAAGTCTCTGCAAGGACGCAAGAAAGCCAACAATGACCAAAATACTAGACAGCTACTACAGTTAAGACACAGTACTCAATTATGTTTGACTAAAAAAGCTTTGGTCATAGAAAACTAAATAAGAATCAAGAATCAAGTTACAACACAATATTCGAACAGATTAACCAGAATAACATTTCTCAAAGATCAAGAAATAAAACAGCCAAAACGAAATGTTCAGTCCTTTAGCTATTTTATATATTGCATGCAAAACACTACGTTTAGAAGAAAATTAAGGTTTCACAGTCAATCCCTCAAAAGTTAGAAAATGTCAAAATTATGGTTGCCAATGTACTAAGGAGGCAGAGATCCCATGGGAAAAAAAATGTGATTGTGTATTTAAAGACTTTATCATAATGCATATACACAAGGGGGCTGAATTATGGTTGCACAGGCAATTACAGGGAAAGTCCTGGGATGGAGCATATTTAGCGCAGATGGAATCTTCAGAGAATTTCGCTGCCAAACTAACAAGGCTCTACTAAGCATGTGTGGAATCAAATTTTTTTTGAGGCTTTAACTTGGACAAACATGCAGTTTTTCCATGAAAAAAGCACAAGGCACCTCCCTGCCACAAAAGTGACTCCACTGCCCAATTTCAAGTCCTTGATCCAAAGGATGGCGGCACTAGAGCTTCACAACAAAATAGTTGTAAGAATTTTTATCATGTGCAAGACGATGTATTTTTTCTCTAATTCTCAGAAACAACTACGTGATTTTTGCTGAAACTTTCAAAAATGTAAGCGTGAGGCAAACACCTAGCGTTGAAAGTTTTAGCCCAAACTGTTAAAGTTTGACAAAGTTATAGATAACTGAAAACACTATCTTATAATGGGAAGTGTCTAGCAAGTTAAGTGTAGGCTGATAGTGCTGCCTATAATAAAGACACGTATTTGTATTAAACAATCAAATTTACAGTCCTTATTCTAAATCTTTTTAAGGATGAAATGTAGGATTCCAACATCACAACCTTCAAAACAAGCATTTTACTGTTGAGCACAAGTAGAAAAATGCTTTTCTCACTAAAAACATTACTTGAGCTAACCTTAGACAACTGTTTTCCCTATTCATTTACATTTTCACTATATGACATCTACAGAGACATATTAAAAATGTAATGGCTTTACAAGTGAAGGATACAAAACAAAATGGTCCAGGTAGGTTCTGGTCAAATACTTGCTAAATCATGACACAGACAGACCATCTTTCATAAAAAACAGTATATGTATTCATCTGGGGAAAGTGTGATGTTTACATTTGGAAAACAAATTTGGTCCTAGAATTCCAGTACTGATTCAAGGATAAGAGTGCTGTTACTTATATTGTAATAGTTAAGGAATGTTAGGCACTGTAAAATCATATAGTAAGATAGTCTGTCTTGAAGAGTTCACAATCTAAAGAAAAATAACTGAAAAGGGAGTGGGGAAGGAGATACAACATAAAAAGAGGTCAGCTGATGACTGGCATGTGTATTTGTTAGTCCCATTTTTAATATATTCAATATTTAACGTATTAAAACTATCCCCAAAGAGCCTATGTAGCATCATTAGTTGGTTTTTCAGAAAAATGTAATACTGACTATTGATGATGACTGTAGCTAACCACCTCAGGTAATACAGTTGGCTTAATCAGATCATTTGTTAGCTTCTTTGAGAAAATATGTCAGATAGACTGATCAATTTTAAAACAAGTATACTCCTGTTTGTAATTCATGTTTCTGTTTCTAAAACTGTCAATTTGTCTTCTAGGAGCATTCTCCATTATTGCTCTAAAACATTTCAGATGAACTCAAGATTTTCCAAAGTCTTTTATACTTGATATATTTGTTGTATTTTATTATTTCAAATTAGTTCAGCCATTGTCTGAGCATTCACCCTCCACCCTCTGTCACCCATTTCTCACCATCAAAAGGAAACTGATCAAAATAGCACACAATGTCATCTGAAGATCCTATGCCACACTATATTTTCTTCTACAATCACTTCATATACCACATGTATTGCTATGTAGAATCAGGGTATATGCTACAAATAGGTACTACCTTTTTTTTTTTTTTTTAAAGATGGGGGAGAGAGAAGTATTGAAGGAATTTACCAATTCTACAGTATAATTTAATAAATTAGTGCTAATGTAGCAATTTCAAGAGCTAGATAAATACTGCAAACGTGTTCTGCTAATATTAGTTCACATTTTAAAATTAGTTAACTCTCCACCCTGTGTTCTTGCTTTCCAGCAATATTTTAGCAAACATGTTTAATGACAAATTTATCTGTGGAAACAGCAAATCTTAAAGTTTACACTATTCATGGACAGCAAATTTAATTTCCCTGTCCAAGAGCATTTCTAATAGAAAGCTGATTCTAAGAGATGTTCTGTCAGGGAACAAAATCAGACCATGTGACGTAGGTGATCAAGCAGATCAGATTTCAAGTTTGTCATGAATTGCTCACAAACAAGCTACACAGCAAGAATTATTCATGAAAATTCAACAAGTAATTTTACTGAATAACTGCAATCCATTAGCCTGTATTTGTTCATAATTTTAATTTTTATCCCATCTGCGAATACTTCAACACCCCTTCAGAACTGTGTAATACACACAATAGATGTCTATTTTATCACTATCTAGAAAACTGGGATAAAACCAGGAGAGATTTTAATATTTGCCCTTTGCTGCCCAGGGCTAGCAGTACTTTCATTACTCATCAAACTGTGATCACAACTGAATTCTAAACAGACTAGAAAAATATCACCAACTTCACAATGAAAAGGTTTTTGGCAAGATAATTTTCTAACCATATATTAACTTTCAGACACTTTGAGGCCTAAGATATTCTTGCTAACTTATTAATTGATGAGAACAGCAAAAGAAACCTTTTGCTATGGAATTCTGCATTAAATTATTTTTCCCCCCGAAGGAAATTGCTCCTTCCAAAAAGCTTTTATTTTATATTCACTTTTAAAAAAGAGAATATTGTCATATTTCAAATGTCAAACATAGCCTTGACTGAAGGGTATTTATCAGAGACCCTAATATTATATGATTATAAACAGCAGCAGATTGTGGAAAGCAGACCGGTTAATGCTACTTACTTGTAGTGATAAACATTCAGCAAATACACCTTGATCCATTTTAAAGTAAAATATTTAACATTTTATTCTTTCAAATAAATAAATATATAAATTATTCATTTTCATACTGCTGGCCCACTGCAAAGTGAAGTCCTATGTTGTAGATATTGCTAAAAAGGACAAGCTTTCAGCATGCCATGGTGGAGTAAGCAAGAAGAAAAGCCAAACACACACAGGAAAGAAATGGCACTGGAGCAAACAAATGAGTGGCCACAGCTGTGTAACACTGCATCCCACCCACTGCAGGGAAGTTTAGATTGTAATCGATTCAATAGATACCACTGAGTTTGGTTTATTTTTAATTATGCCAATGTACTTCTGAAAAGGTTATTAATGTAAGTGGCAGCAACTCATCTGTCACAGCTCAACTGCATTAGCTTGGAAGTTGGTTTTGTTTTGTTTGGTTCAGTTCATTCATAAATTCCAGCATTTAAGTACAAAATTTTACAACACTGAAACACAGTCTCCTGCTTTCTCCTCCGTAAGTGTAGATATAAAGCACACAGTCAATTAAACACTATGGCCCTAGAGAGGTAACTTAAGTAAGGTCTAGAAAGGACTAATCACATCCTGATTACAATGCCTGTTAGCATTCCATACTAGAAGATAGAAGTGAGAGATTCATTGCTTAAAGTGTTAATTAAATGCCACCTAAAAACAAAAGTCACACAAAAAATCAGTTTTACATATTAATTCTGTCATTGTTTCCATACTACTTTTCTCATATTTACTACTCAAAAACAGTACCTGCTGTTCAGCATTATTTTTTTT